GGAAATTGCATGATATTTCTGTAACAAAAACTAACAAAATCGCCAACTATACTGAACCATGTCTAGTAAATTTGACATCACTTTATCAGAGTGGTTGATTTGGCAGATGCCGCTGACAGCTGCCTGTAAATTGTTCTGTTGATAGGCAGATGGTAATAAAATGAGTTTACTGCCAAGTGCTTGCTCACGACAGGTTTTTCTCTTCACACATCTGTAGGTGTATATTTCACTGAAATATTTTCTTAATGGTAAATACTTTTTTTTTGCTTAGGATGTACTGTAATGTAAAATGGAGTAACTGTTTTTGTGAGCAAACGAGGCAGCCAATCTGTACATAGCAATGTCTCACAAACAGCCACGAATGACCAGTTTTACAGGGGGCTTGTTGGCCAGGACATCAGGAGAAACTTCCTTCTCTTGTCGAACAGATCATTGTGGAGTCCTGTAGCTCAGTGGTTAGAGCACTCGCTTTGCAAGTGAGAGACCTGAGTTCAATTCCAGACAGGGCGAAACCTTGGGCAAGTTTCCTTACTCCACACAGAGCCTAATAATAATCCCTCCAAAAACCAAAAACAATAATAAATTGGTCATTTTCAATCTACGACTGTTTGTGGGACATTGCTGTGCGCAATTGGCTGCCACGTTCGCCCACAAATATACAGTCAATTCACTTTACAGTGTGTTCTGTGAAGCGCTTTGGGACGTCCTCCCGACGTGAAAAGCGCAATATCAAATGCAAGGATTATTATTATTATTATTAATGTCCATCTGAATAAGCAGACGGGTCTTCGGTTGAACATCTCATTTTAAGACAGGGACCTCCATCAATGCTGCACTCACCAGCACTGCATTGGAGTGTATATATATATGAGTTATGAAAATGGAAGTAACTTTGAATAAACTACTTTTACGGGCCGCAAAAGTGCTTTAAAACAATTTTTTCTGTTTTCAGTTCACATTTCCAGCAGCATCTGGTGATTCTGTTTTTAAAAGTCTTGTAACAGCAACAAATCGTAATTCCAGAATTCAAATTAGCACTAATTTGGATTAATTTAAAAAATAAATCCCAAATTGTCCTGGTTTAGATAAGGTTAGATTCAACAATGACAATTTGTGCTTACGTAGCATCTCTCACATAGGAGAATATCTCAGAGTGCTTTATGGATGAATAGGGATAGGTGTGAGATGACTGATGGTGCAATCAAAGACAGTGTTTTGTAGATGTGTTTTGAAAGCAGAGAGAGTGGGAGTGAGATAGAGGACATTAGAATGAGAGACTCAGAGAGCAGGGGCAAAAACTCACCCACCAATGATGGGGTGCAGGGTACATGAAGCATGTGAGGAGCAGAAGGAGCGGGAGGGGGAAATGACTGCAATACATCAGAGATAGAATGGTTATCGAGGCATTTGAATGTAAACACAAGGAAAAAGTTGATTTGCTGGTTAATAGGGAGTCATGAGAGTGATGGGCTTTCATCTTTAAGATGCATTGATTTTTCCCTTTTCACAAGAGAAAGCTTCAATTTCTGGCGTGTGCCCTTCTGTGTGAATGTGTAGATGTGGGCGGTGTTATTGTCATGCTGATATTCACATCAAGATACATATCAGCACGTGGAAGGCAGGAACTTCTATAGGAGGTGTATTAAGCTCTTGTTTTTGTGATTGTGGGTGATGACTTGAAGCTATGTGTCTGTTGTGGTATTAGTGTTGCAGCACATGGGTGCACCTGTGCTTCCTGGCACCCTAGAGGTGGGTGTGTATCCATCTGGTGCTACTTGGTGAATATAGAGGATCCGGTTTATGGTTTTGAATTCCATATTTATCAGGAGTGCTCATCCCTTCTGTCCCAGCTGCAAGACATTTCTGACAGAACACACAAGTTGTAAAATATTACAGAATTCAACGCTCGTCCTGTAATTTAGTAAAAATAGATTTTGTGCATGTTTTAACAAAACGTTGAGCATTTGGCACAGTATGACTGTCTATTGATAATAACACGTGCATAACCAAGGAGCTATAGCCTAAGATAATATTGCATCTTTCCAAGCTGCGACTTGGTGGTGCTTAGTTGTGGGAGCCCCCAAAACTTCAGTGTTATTTAATTAGCTCTTGTTCATTGCATGTTGCGCTGTAGATATATGTATCTTCAAGCCCTCACTCTCTTTCTATCCCATTAGATGTTTAGTGATGTTTAGTGATGCCCCTTTTACTTATGGTGCTAGGACCACCCCCTCGCAATGTAACATCCATATGTGTTCAGCATTGTTAGGTTAAGGAGTGATCTGATTGAGGTGTTTAAAATGATAAAGGGATTCGATAGGGTAGCTACAGAGAAACTATATCCTCTGATGGGGGAATCCTGAATAAGGGGGCATAATCTTAAAATTAGTGCTAGGCCTTTTAGGAGTGAAATCAGGAGGCATTTTTTCACATAAAGGGTAGTGGAAATCTGAAATTCTCTCCCCTAAAAGGCTGTGGATACTGAGACTGAGGTTGATAGATTTTTGGTAGGTCAGGTTATCAAGGGATACCGGGCAAGGGCAGACATTTGGAGTTGAGTTGCAGATCAGCCATGATCTAATAGAATGGCGGAACAGGCTAGAGGGCTGAATGGTCTACTCCTCTTCCTGTGTTCCGATCTTATCTGGCCCTGCGAATCTTCTATTATACAAGTATAATGCTCTCTCCATTACCTTAGTTACAATTATACCCAAATAACCTGAAGTCACAAAGTCAGTCCAAGTTGATTAAATTTGCACATGACTCTTAGGCAGGGGTGGGCAAAAGATGGCCCGTGGGCCATATCTGGGGCCCGCCAAATGATTCTATCCGGCCCGTCATTGTGTCTAGCAATAGAAAAAATTATAGTTCGTTCAGTCCCAGAAAGTCGCACAAGTTTCGCATTTGAATCAGACCAGGAACATTAGCCAATCACACTGCTTAGTTGTGCCCACACTCCCTTAAATGTTGAATTAGGCTGACGTCAGAAATGTACGGATCGACAAATTTTCAAACACGCTCGGGGCAATCGCGGCAATACTTTTTACTGAAGAGGACATTAATTTGAAATGAGTTTATCAAAGAAGCGGAAAGTGGACGCTGGAAGCTGAATATTCAACAAAGAATGGATTTCTAAATTTTTTTNACCGGTGTGGGTGGAAAATAAAACAAATAAAATCAATAAAAGAAAAATAAAAATAAATTAAAAAATAAAATAAAGAAAGAAAATAAAACCAGTGTCCAGTTACAAAATAAAGTAAGCAATTTTGCACGTTTTTCACTGGCACTTGATGAGAGTTATGATGTCAAAGACACAGCTCAGTTGATAATTTGTATTTGAGGTATCACCAAACATTTTGAGCTCACAGAAGAATTGGCATCAGTGCAGTCAATGGAAGATACGACAACTGGAGAAGACTTTTTGGAGGCAGTTAATAAGTATATCTTAAAATTAGAAGTGGAGTGGAAAAAATTGGTGAATGTGACCACCGATGGAAGCCCAAATCTGACGGGCAAAAATGTTGGGTTACTGAAAAGAATTCAAGATCAAGTCAAAGAAACAAATCCGGTACAGAATATTGTTTTTCTACACTGCATTATCCACCAAGAGGTCCTCTGTAAGAGTGTTCTAAAACTAAGCAATGTCATGGACACAGTTATGAAAGTGGTCACCTACATTCGAGCAAGAGGATTAAACCACAGGCAATTTGTAACTCTGCTTGAGGAATTGGAATCCGAGCACATGGATGTTCTGTATCACACGAGTGTAAGATGGCTTAGTTTAGGAAAGGTCTTGAAAAGAGTGTGGGAACGAGAACAGAGATTGATTGATTTTTGGACATGAAACAAAAAGATTTGGATTTCCCACAGCTGAATGATGCAAATTGGCTCTCTGATTTTGCATTTGCTGTTGATATCATGGGCCACGTGAATGAACTGAATTCAAAACTGCAACAAAAGGGGCCTTTGTGCACGATTTATATTGCAATGTCAAGTCATTCATGACAAAATTATTTTTTTTATCACGTCAGATAGGAAATAGGAAGTTCACCCACTTTCCAAGTTTGCAGCAGATTTCTGTTTGTGATCAAAACCTTAAAAAGTATATTTGTGAATATTTGACTTACATGCCGAATTTTCTCGCCGACTCCAGGATTTCAATTTGATCAAAAATAACTTGTCTTTGGTCTCTTCACCTTTCTCATTTGATGTTGACAACCCCCCATTTGACTTCCAACTCGAGCTTATTGACTTGCAATGATTCCATTCAAATCAGTGCCATTTCCCAGTTTTTATGCCTCTCTTAATGAATATACCTTTCCAAAAATAAAGGCTCATACCTGGAAGATGCTTGTGCTGTTTGGATCAACATACATATGTGAGGAGACATTTTCTGTGATGAAATTCAATAAATCAAAACATAGATCTGTGATGACTGATGACCACCTTGCAGCAGTACTCCGCATTGCAACAACGGAGACGATGCCTGACTTCAGTGGTTAATGCACAACAGCGCTTTCATTCTTCCCATTGAGTGAGCTTCTCACATACTCATCAATATGTGAATAAATGAATAAATATCAAATAAATGTTTTCTCAATGAGTTGTTTTTATTTAACCTAATTTTAATGAATGTCAATTATATAGACTTTATTTTATGCATGTACAAGTGTCATACTTGATCTTGAGCTATTATTAAGCATTTGCATCTATATTATGTGTGTGGCCCGCAAAGCTTACTAAAGCTCGTGAAGTGGCCCGCCAGCCAAAATGATTGCCCACCGCTGGGCTTGATGATCTAATGGTCTTTTCACATTCCACATTCTCTTATTCCTGTGAGGGAGAATGTATGATTTAGTGGTTACAGGAAAGCTAAAAGTGACTGTCACCCAAAGTCACTAGTCAGTGTGATCATGTAAAAGTTGTGTCACAGTATTATTACTCATGTGGGTAAATGGTGCAAACAAACCCAATGACCTGTAACCGTTCTGTCTTTATAGGAATTGGATCGGGGTTTTCATGGTGAAATCACAACTGAAATCCTGAAGGCTCGTGACTTCTATTATGCCGAAGATTACCACCAGCAGTACTTAGCTAAGAACCCACATGGTTACTGTGGGCTCGGTGGCACTGGAGTATCTTGCCCTATTGACCCTTAGGATGAGAGAGACTGAAATGCCTGAGTTTATATTCTTTAATCGGTTCCACATGAAATTGCTAAAATACAAAAATCGGCAACTAATTTTTCTTGCCTTGAAGTTTTAGCGTAAATCCAATCTTCACTGCAAATCAATCGCAATAGAAAAAAACATTTAAATAAGTTACCAGTGGTTTGTTCATCTCCTGATTTCAGCATTCACGTTGATTTTAAAAATAACCGAATTTTGATCCCCTGAAAATATATTATTCTTTCTATTGGATCTAGGCTCTGGTATTTTAGGATGGGATTTCTTAATAAGGAATCTGAGTCACACCAATGGGGATTCCTTCCGATAACTGGTGTGCATGACATGACACCACAACACTACAGCACAAACTACTTTCGGAGTAGAATTCCCAATGGGCAATAGGAATTCTAATGGAAGTATTCCCACTGCAATACCGCGTAATGTACCTCAAAGTTTCTTTTTGTCACCACAAGTAAAGATGGGGAGCGAAATACAGTCCATCTTCTTAGATGATTTGAAGCTCATGGTTATGTTGTCTAATTAATACAATGGTTAAGGTGCAGCTTATATGTGTTTGATCCTCTCTTTCATATTGGTGTATTAGGATTATGTCTGTGTGCAGGAATACAATCACCTTGTATGTCATAGATGTTACACAAAGCTTAAAGGATCTATCTCTAAAAGAGGGACGAGGAACTGGTAGGAACAAAGGTTGCAGTAAATTATAGTGTAAACGTCTGTCAACTCAACTCCACAAATATATAACAAAGAACAAAATTTGTCCTTCAGAGCTGAGGCCACTGTACCCCTTAACCAATGTCTAAATGCATGTGATATTGTGAAACAACATGCAGAATTGGTTTGGATTTCACTATTAAAAATATAAAGACGGCTTAATTTCATTTTAAAGTTTAAAGGTTTCTCTTTGCACTTGAGGAGCCGAAAGGCCCTTTTCACATCCCATCTTCTCTTAGACTTGTGAGGGAGAACTTAAGAAGGTTAGTAAGTACAGAAAGCTCCCTCTTTGACTCAGTATGACGTTGCCTCCCTTTGCTGCCTCTGCCCATTTCATAGTGATGTGCAGCCACCAGTGCTGAATGATTTGAGTGTCACCAAATTGCATCAATGCTGTGGACTGTGATCCTAATGTAATATTATAGCTACACTTTGTTCATAAAATTTGTCCTGCTGGGTTCCACAACATGTTATGAAAGTGCCTTCTTTTAACTGAGTACATTTGTTAGACTTGAAGTTTATAGGAAAATAATTTTGTACGTTTAGAGCTATAGATTTGTTCAGTATAGAAAAGGCCCATTGGCCCATTCATTGTGTCTGTGTTTTGTTCTTTTAAAGAACCACCCCCTGCCTTTTCCCTGTACCCCTTTTCTTTCCTGTTATCATAGAACACAATTCTTACTTAATAAAACCCAATTCGGTACAAACGTGGAATATGCCAATACCATTTATCTGTATTTCGTTTTAAGAATGTTCAGATCGAATAAAAAATAAAGACCTTTGAAGTTAATCTGCCTGTCTGCATTTTGTATGATTATTGCTGGCTCCAGGTAGAATTTGCAAGATTTCCTGGACGTTACTGTTACTGATATTGATATTTTCATTGTCCTTTTGATTGTGAGACTCCATCTCAGATGGATACACTGCTGTTTTGAAAGTGCTTTAGGATGCTACACTATTTAGCACGAGTAAGGTGAGTACGTGCCAGCACCTGCCAACTCTACAAGAAAAAGCCCTAACAGGTAGCGTGATCCTAGCTGGACAAGCACTTTGAAGCTTGCCAGACAGTGCTTTCAATGGCAAAATATGTCGTTAATCTTGATGGTTAAGCCGGTTAAATTCCAGCATTGCCCCAGCTCACACTCTGGGAATCCCAAGCCTTGCCTCTTCCCAATCTGTGCCTAATGCTCTGCAGAATTAGATAAGTAAATTGAGTCCCTCCAGGGAGAGAGTGCGCATTCCATTCTAGACATGTGGATGTAACAACAGCTTGCATTTATATAGCGTCCTTCACATAGGGTAGCATCCTAAAGCACTTGACAGTAGTGGAGCATGACTCTGAGCCGTGGGAAAGTGACCATAGGCATGGTCGAAGAGGAAGGTCTTCAGGAAGGAAGGGGCAAGGCAGAGGGATAGAGGAAGAAGCTAAGAAAAACGTTAATAATATGGAGGGTACCGTGCACTCTAACATTGAACCTTTATTGGTAAATAAATTATTACATTTCAGCTGAAGTATATCATTTTCAGCCAGTTACCATGTCATTTAATAATTTTAAAATGTATCTCTTTTGTCTTACATTTTTAAATGCAAGAGAAACACCTCAAAGCCCTTTACAGAATGAGATTAATTAGAAATGAAGTGAACGTTACAATGTACGCAGAATTGGAATATTCTTAAATTGAATCTTAATTTGGATGCTCTTTAAAACTGCGAAGAAAAATTATTTCTAAATGTAGACTGGGAATTTTCTACAAATCTAGGTGATCTTAAATATGAAGACAAATTTGTCCACAGACTAAGGACTTGGTGAAATTTCAGGCCTTCTGTGCCTTTATCACAATTAGATTCTTACCACCTACTATTCTCTGATCCACATCGTGTGTATGTTTCTGAGTTTCTGATAATTCTGCTAGCGAAAAAGCTATTTCAATTTAATATAGCTGAGGTAGAAAAGGAAACTGATTTGTATGTGACTATTGACCATTCACTGAAAGTTCAACAACAACAACCACTGTGTCTTTCATGCAAGAGAAACACCTCAAAGCCCTTTACAGAATGAGATTAATTAGAAATGAAGTGAACGTTACAATGTACGCAGATGTTTCCTCTAATTTGTGACAGCAACGTCCTACAATCAAGAATAAGATGAGTAGTTGATTCATTTGAATTTGGACGAGGAGGGCACATAATCCAGGAGAAGTGAAAGAAAACCTTTTCTTCTTTGAAATAGCATCCACTTAAACCTTAATCGCAAGGCAGGTGGGACCTAAATGAATGATTCAATCAAAGAGCTTGAAATAAATAATAAAAAAAGGTCTCAGGCAATGTAAAGCTACCAACAATTTTCACCTATATAGTGCCTTTCACATAGGAGACTGTCTTCAAGTACCTTACAAAGACAGTGGGAGCCTAAGTTGGGAGGGAGATGGGAGAAAGAAGGAAAGAGGGGAGGTGATGAAAGGCATAGTGGAACATAAGAACATAAGAAATAGGAGCAGGAGTAGGCCATTCAGGCACTCGAGCCTTCCCTGCTATTTAATAAGATCATGGCTGATCTAACCTATTTCCATTTACTTGCCCTATCCCCATATCCCTTAAAGAACAGGTTGATCTTTGGATGGGTTTTGAAAGTAGGGAGGGAGAGAACAAGGTGATCAAGGTAATCAAATACCAGTTTGCATCTTGAAAGTATTTGACTAAATGTTGAAAGTAGGTTTGCTAAGCTTATGTGGATCATTAGTGTGGCTATATTTGGAATCTTATCTGGGTTTGGAATCCGACCTTCAGTAAATTAAAAAGTTGGAGAGTGAATAGGGAAGAGCAACAAGAATAATTTCATGGTTCTGCTAAATTTTGAGATTTAACTAATTGAGGGGACTGGGTTATTAACCCCCTTCCCTACCATCTTTCCCATAGTCTCTCAGTATGCTGATACTCACCGTAAGGGCTGAAGAAGAATGGCAACTTGGGTGAGGATCGATGAATACAAATTGACAAATTGACCAAAAGACCCATCTCTTTGACTGAGTTTCAATTATCATCTGGTACGCAACCCCCCCGCCCCCCCCCCCCCCCCCCCCACCCACACCACCCCAACTTCCTGAGCTCCATGTAGCTCGGGTTCCCAGTTAGTTGTGTGAAGCACTTTTGAGACGACCTCCCGACATGAGAGGCGCTATATAAATGTAAATTGTGTTGTAAACAAGAACTGACTATCAGGTGCTCACCCAGCATCTTGCTTGAACCTCAAGTATTTTATTGATGTTTAAATACGCAATTGTTAATATCTATAACATACAAAGACATCTCACCCTGACTCCAAGAATGCTGTTGGCTCCTAACCGTCCTCACTATTGTGGGTGTAATCAGTGTGCTAAAGTACATGGAGGACGGGAAGCACCTGCCTGCATTCAGGCACTAATATTGTAGATACAGCACTATTCAGGCAGCAGAGCTGGATGACGTTATCTTTGATCTGAGGGAAATGGTATTGAGAATGACAGCGCTGGGGAGACAAAATGAAATCAGGAAGAGAAACGACAGATAAAAAAAACAACAGAAAAAAGACTTGCAGAAGAACAAATGATTTTCTTTATATAAGAAATCTGCATGAAAGAGAGAGGCCGAGTTGGCTGATTCCAAGCCCCTGAATTGCTAAACTCAGTATTCCCATGATTACTCCTCAGCGCCTGTGGAGGGAGGGGGTGTCAAGCATGTTAAGTCTCCAAACTTGGGAAACTGCCTTCCCTGCTTTTAAACTTCGATGAATGGCGTTTAATTTCTTTCAATGAATGAATTTTTACTTTTTTCCTAAGAGTATTTTTTTTTAAATTCTATTTATTAAAACAAATTCAAAATAATTAGAGAAGTGAAATCTCTGTTCAGCCAGTTCTCCCTGTCTCTGGCTTGCCTAAGTCAGAGTCAGTGACAGATGTGCAATGACAGATACAACAACAACAACAAAATTAAATTTATAGAGCGCCTTTCACGTCGGGAGTACGTCCCAAAGCGCAGATGTGACTTATCTGTCCCTGGAATATTGGCTGCCTGGGACATGGGCTTGGATTTGAGACTATACATTCTCACATTGAGTTCCCAAACTAGTGCTACAGCATCATTAAGGTTATTTTCCACTGTCTAATGATTCAGGATATAATGCACCAATGTGGGGCTGAGAACGTTGAAATGTTCATACTTGACAGAGATTCTGTTCCTCATTGCGAATGTAAATGAAACATAGTAAAGCTTACAAGTTAAAACAGGAATTTAAAGAAATAATAATAATAATAATAATAAATAAGGAAGTATTAAGGCAGTCTCCTTTCTGTGAATTCTGAATCACAGTTAAGATTTGTACAAGTGATAATCTATTCCGTTATTACAATCTGAAATGAAAATGAACACTTATTCTTCAATCTGCAATATCATAGTTGCTTCACTGTTGTTTTTGTGTGAGATAAAAGGTTTGTACTGCATGGTTTCTCCCGCCGGGGGCTGTGGGTGGGATGGGGGATTGAGAGGGAGTTGGAGAGGTGGAGCGAAAATGTATCCATTGCTGTGCTTTTCTCCAGAAATTAACCTCCTGACAAAAGTCCCCAAATAGCAATAGCAGCATTAAAAAATGGCCAAACTCTTCTCATGGGTTCTTAAAAAAATAAACAACTATTTTTAACATACAGTAATTGAATTTACACTGGAAATTAAAAAGGAGAAAAAGTGGGAGTAACTCCATACTAATTTCGACACAAACTCAATTTTCTGCCACAATTTACATTGTGCACCTGTATAGCTGAAAATATTCAGTGAACAGAAAAGCTCTCTTCTTGTGCATCTCACATGCGCACAGAAGCTTCAAAATATGTTATTGTACAGCAATTAAAGCCTTGCTCCTCTAAAGAGCAAAGATTGTGGTTTACATCATTCCTGTTTTCTCATTTAATCAAAGCACTGTCAGAAAATTATTTCTAGGAGGAGATAAACATTTCTTACCGTTGACAAGATTTAATTACCTTTGGTAGATTTTGGCTATGATTTTGAGATTTAATTATCAAGATCAATCATGTAAAAGGCCCCCAAGCCTCAGATCCAGCCCATATTGCATTGTTAGTTGAAGCCTCTCTTACCTTTATCTTTCTCTTGCTAACACACCGAAGTTGTGAGGGAAAATTGGGGTGGACTTCTTTGGGTTACAATTAGGGATAATAACAAGAGGGGAAACAATCCTCTGCCAAGCAGTTGAGGATAAATGAGTGTTTTAAAGCGGTGTCTAGAATAAACTTTTATAGTGAATGTTGTTGCAATGTGTTGGACGACGAGATTGAATTTACTCTTTGAGCGGGAGCTGTGAGAATGTAGAAATATCCTTTCAGGGGCCAAGGCTGCAGGTCAGCATAACAGCAGAAGGTATAAAGGTAAGTAAACTGTGTTTGTGCACGTCGTATCAAAACTATCAAGTGAAAGGAAAAACTAGAAGTCTCACAAATCAGTGCAGAAATAAAGAAAAACTAAGCGTTGCAACCTGTTCACAGAAATGTCCCACAAACAGCCATGAAGTGAATGATCAATTTTAGTGAATGACCAATTCTATCTGGGGAATGTTTGGCCAGACACCAGGAGAAACTTCCTTTTCAAGTAGTTCTGTGGATCTTCAACTTCCACCTTAACAAGCAGACAGGACCTTAGTTTAACATATCATCCAAAGGATAGCACCTCCATCAATGCAGCAGCTTCAGCCTAGACTTATGACCTTAAAGTCCCCGATACAGGGCTTGAAACCTACAA